TACAACACTGGTGTGCACGTACACGTGCGTGCGTGCGCGCGTGTGCAGGTACACGTTCGTTCGTTCGTGCGTGCGTGTGCACATACATGTTCGCGCGTGCGTGCGTGCGTGCATGTGCACGTACACGTGCGTGCGTGCGCGCGTGTGCAGGTACACATTCGCGCGTGCGTGCGTGCGTGCATGTGCACGTACACGTGCGTGCGTGCGCGCGTGTGCAGGTACACATTCGCGCGTGCGTGCGTGCGTGCATGTGCACGTACACGTGCGTGCGTGCGCGCGTGTGCAGGTACACATTCGCGCGTGCGTGCGTCCGTGTGTGTGCACGTACACGTGCGTGCGTGCGTGCGTGCGTGTGTGCGCGCGTGTGCATGTGCACGTAGACGTGCGTGCGTGCGTGCGTGCATGCGTGCGTGCGTGCGTGTGTACCTACATCGTACTAGTGTTGCCGCCTATCGTGGAGTTATGTACTATTTGCTAACTCGAGTTAAGCGTCTACACGGGGCCTTAACTCGAGTTAAGCTAACTCGAGTGAACGCTAACTCGAGTTACCTTAACTCGAGTTAAGGCCCAGTGTAGACGCTTAACTCGAGTTAAGGTTCGTCGTGTAGACGAGGCTTATAATATATATAACGGGATAAGGATATCGTTAGATTAGTTTGATCCGTACTGCTGTAGAAACTGGTTAGGTAGCAGCATGTACATATGTATAGTTGTGTTGCATATGCATATGTTCTGTATACTTATATACATTATAATATCAGGAGTCTATCAATAGATATAGGATTGATTAAATAACTTCATCGGATCTCTATAATTTACATGCTAATAACGTTAATCTCAGTTAGATCTATAATCAATACAAAATATCTTACTCTGACGAAATTTTCGTCCATCTCTTCGACAGACTTCCTCAGGTCTAACGTTTCCAGGTAGATGCCCGAAAATGACCACAAACGGAAGTTCGATCCTGGTCATTTTCGGGCATATACCTGGACACGTTAGACCTGAGGAAGTCTGTCAGAGAGATGGACGAAAATTTCGTCAGAGTAAGTTATTTTGTACTGATTATGGATCTAACTGAGATTAACGTTATTAGCAGATATAGGATTATTGATAGACTCCTGGTAATATACGTAGTATCAGTAGTCTATCAATATTGATAGACTCCTGGTAGTATACATATGTTGATGTATATACTATGATTACTATGTGTTACCATGTACACCTGATGCAATAAATCTGTGAACAGTTAGAGGAGAAGAGGATAGAGTGGGTAACCGAGCGACGGGCCCTACAGTCCAGCCTGCGGCCGACGCTTGGACATCCCAGCAATGCTGACCGCCTGTCTGATTTATGCAAACAAGAGAGCAGCAGGAGTCATCGATTTACTGACAACCTTGAGCAGCATTCGACAACAATAAAGGTAGGGATATTTCTGAGTAGGGATTTCTGAATATAGTAAGGTGTACTCAATGTTGACATACAGTACTTTTGTAAGGGCAAAGAAGGAAATTTCCGTTTTATTGGC